AGACTGGAATTTTTAAGGGAGCTATTCCCATTGGAATGAGACTGCTCTTGGGAGCTGGGCACCTAACTCACTTATTCTCCTTTGGAGAATCACAACCGTGGGGCCAGGCTCACCAGTTTCACTGCGTCCGCATTAGTGGCCACAAGTGAACGGAAACATGTCAAAAATGGCCAGTGGAGAACTGATCCTGCACAGGGGAGCCCTCTACGGATATAGTAGGCTCCTCAGTCAGTTTGCTCCTCTTAACTCCAGTGTGGAGTGGGGGGCATGGTAGGACAGAGCTTTCCTGGTCCTTACCCATGACTATCTTCAGGCAGGGATCAGAGCCATTCCTGAGGAAGCCAGTGCGTAAGGGAGCTAACAGCACCCCCTTAACACACATCTATAACAGAGAGGAGAATTCATCCCTTTATTGTGATTGCTGTAGTCCGTTCCTAAGGGCTTCCAAGCCCAGTCCTGAAAAGATTTTGCTGAAAATACCATATTTCTGGTTATAGGCCAGGCATAATGTTTGAAGACCCAGCCTCATGATCTTTCGGCTTTATTACAAGTTATTGGTCTTTACCCCCTCCCCTGTTAACTGATACCTCTAGACTCAACACAGATTGCAAAGTAGTCTCATTTACGGATGGTAGACTCTGCTTTGTTCACGATGCATGCCAAATGTTCAGTAAAATAAAGCTGCACCAAAAAAGAAATACTTGCATATGAAAACTTTGCCAATTTAAGTCAGAATCATCCTGTTTGAAAAGCCTCTCTGCCCTTGTTTCCCTCACTAAAGTAAAATACTGGTGGTGTCTCTGCTTGGCAGTTTTTTTCTGTTTTTCCTCAGCTTTAATCCTCAGATAGATAGTTTTCACTAGAGGGGAGGGATAGCTCAGTGGTTTGAGCATTGGCCTGCTAAACCCAGGGTTGTGAGTTCAATCCTTGAGGGGGCCACTTGGGGATCTGGGGCAAAATCAGATCTTGGTCCTGCTAGTGAAGGCAGGGGGCTGGACTCAATGACCCAAGGTCCCTTCAAGTTCTAGGAGATGGGATATCTCCATTAATTTATTTATTTATTGACTCTGCTATTATTTAGCTCTGTTCAAACTTACTTTTGTACAACCCCCCCAGCCCCCACACTCTAGACCACAACTTGGAAGCCAAGAGACATTTTGAAGGCCTTTGATTAGCAGATGACCAATGTTCTGTGACTCCTAATCTTGCTTTACAGAATTATTTGACAAAGCCATTTAAAGATTTCCTGTTTTTTTTTCCCATTTACAAGCAACATCTTACAAACTTTATATCTTTCGATGTTTTCCCCTCACAGGTTTGTTTGACTGTAGCTCACTCTGTGTTTTTTGACAAGGAGCCCCTTTTACAGTTTTCCAGGAAGTCCCTTCCCATGGCTCTGGTCTGTCTTTGAACTTGAGTTCACATTGTCCTGCTATGTAAGGGAAAAAGCATATCTCCACCTCTACAATAGGCAGGACCCACAGAGGCAAACACTGCGCAGATTGCTTAGAGTTGTCTTAAACAATATATAGTTCCATGTCTGATGCTAAAGTTTAAGGGTCATGTGTTGTTTCCATTATCCGTCTCTTTTATGAGGATTTATATCTTAGCTTTTTAGTTTGCTTTGGGCTAAAACTTGGTATCTGTGTAATCTCAGCCTGGGGGCACATCTTTCTTCCCCTCCCCATTGCTTCAGAGCAGTTTGTTTCTCTTTTTGTTGGTGTTGGAATAAAGCATAACAAATATTTGTAATTCCCAACTATATCCCTTTAATTAAACATTTCATTATTTCCCAAAGGCGCCTCTTCTCCGTTCTGGCTGTGCAAAGGGGATTTCAATTGGGTTTAAATTCCATGACAGTTGCTCCTGCCAGAACAGTGTGAAGGGTGAGAGTCAGGCCCCTTAACTCCGTCTGTACCTCTGAGGGAGAATTGAAAGGACAGGCTAGCAAAGCAACTTAAGGTGTTGGCTGGGTGGTTTTTGTAATTTATAAATAATTTTTTATTCACTTTCCACCTCATCCATAATGTTGAATGTTACTGGGCCACATGCTTCCTTCACTGCATCATGCACCGTGTAATCCCACGCTGGGGGCCGGATCTCAGGAGGAGAGGCATCGCAGGGGCTCAGCTGCTATTATACCTGTGGTCCCAGATACAGGTGAGGCCCCATTGCTACCACCCATTGAAGAGGGGTTCTTGGGGTCAAGGCTGAGGGACAGCTACGCTCAAGGGTGTGCTGCTCCTGGGTCTGAGCAGAAATCTGTCCCAAGGGGGTGGCGATTGGACAAGCAGTAAAGTCCCCTCTCGCCATGTTGCAGAGGGGATGTTTCCAGTGCCCCCATTCTGTCTGCCTGGCACCGTGCCTACAGCACAAAGGGGACCGAATTCAGCCGGGAGTTTTCAGCTGGAGTGTCCCCTCAACATGAGGGAATCTTCAATGGGCCTGGAGCTAACCGAGCCAGCTTATGTGCTAGCCTTCCTGCAGGTGCATGCTGCAGGCAGGGCCGATGAGGGGGGAAGGGGGAAGCCGGTACAAATTACGGGGCCCGGCGGTCCGGAAGGGTGCCCGGGGCCCGGCTTCTCCGTCCTCTCATTGGCCCTGTTTAGTCGGTCTGCCCTTGCTGGGGGGCCCGCGGCGCCCGGCGGACCAGAAGGGGGCCCGGGGCCTGGCCTGGCTTCCCCCCTCCTCTCGTTGGCCCTGTTTAGCTTGTCCACCCTTGCTGGGGGGCCTGAACCCGCTCTCAGTGGCCCTAGCTGCAGGTTCGGGGGAAGTGTTTGTGGAGAGAGTTAGACATGATGCAGTCTGGGTATGGCACAAGTTAGAGCAGTCCTCGGGCTGCACTAGGCCCAGGGCTGATGCAGAGCACCAGGCAGCCATGGTTTAGCTAACTGACCACTTTCCCCCCCTTCTCCATATAGTTCTGCTGTATCCTGCACAGAAAATCTTCATTTAAAAAAACACAAACATCCTCCACCTTGTTTCCTTGAAATTAAAGTGGCGCCGTCTGCATTGTTCATGGAGGCTCTGTAGGATGGGTCTGCTACAGCACGGAAAGTGCAAGTTAACAGAGCTATTCTCAGAGCTGGGTTGACGTCACTGATAATGCTGGGGACACAAGCAATTAGTTGGATGAGAACCATGCTGGTTTGTGCTCCATTAGAAATAAAGGAGGTAAAAGAAATCAATGTCTGATAAATGGAAAAGGAGCAAATTGGCAGGAAAGGCATTTTGTGCTCAACTATCTAAGAGGATATTGTGAGCACTAGACAGTAAACAAAATAAATTAAAACTATAAAAATGTACCTAAAAGTCTCCCTTTAGCTTCAGCTACTTTATATTTTTCAGAAAGCAAACCTTTTAGCTGCTTTGTGCGTAATGTGCAGTGGTACCGTATATTATGTCAACCAACTTCAAATGCTCGGATCTGAGAGATGGATTTATCTCCCTATGTTTTAAGTAGTTTTTCTTCTTTTGAAGATGAACCGTTTGTATAGAGATCTCCAAATGTGTAAAAGGAGAATGGGTTAAAATTCCAGTGTTTTAATGTAGGCTCTGATCCAGCAAACCCCTTAAGTTCCTGATTGACTTAAAACATGAACTTGTAATTCCCACTGAGACCTTAGAGTGTGTGCTGTCTGGCACAGGGACTGTCTCCTGCTCCCTGTGCAATGCCCAGCCCAAAGGTGCCTGATCTCTGACAGGGTCTCTAGGTCAATGATACTTCGAATTCTTAACAGTCTAACAGATGATTCTGAAATAAAGTTTAAACTCTATTTTTTCCCCACAGTCTTACTGGGTTTTTTTTATGTCTCTTGTAGTTTGGAGAATGAAATACACAAGTCACATTTGCTTTCAGGTTGTCATGAGCTAGCACAGTGCAGCAATAGACAACCTCGTTGTACATGGGATTTTTTTAAAACATGGAAATATTTCTATAGCTCATAGCTTTTGTAAAAGCTATTTTTTTTAAATATATAAAAATTATGGGTCAAATTTGAATGGATCCTGTCCCTTTAAGAATAAACTTTTCCTTTTTTTGTGTAAAATTAATCACTGTTTTCTACTATGTAAAAGCTCTGGTTGAGCAGATCAAATCATATAATTTGATCTTTTTTGCAATGAAGAGCAATCTAAATGAATGGATAGTTTTAGGGGGAAAGGCTGGCTAGACTCTCATATCAGTGTTATCTTGTATTCATTTCATATTCCTCTCTCAGTATCACAATGAAACTACTTCATTGTGTAGTTTCCATGTAGCTCCTTTTTGCTTTTTTGCAATTCTAATTCCTGCTTGCTATTGTATTACAAAAGAATCTAGGAACCAGTGTATTTGCATGAAGGGCATTTTAAATTCTAATGTCAAGGGTCATTAATCATTTTTGTTGTTATACCTATGAAGCAAAATTTTCACATACAGGAGCGATTGCTGGAGACGAATCCATTTTGGAAATATTATTTCTGATTAATTTTTCACTTTCTATGAGTTGTAAGAATACAAATTAAAAAGAATCCCATGTCACAATAATTTACATATATTTGAATTTTTGGCACCTGTTACCCATAGTATTTGTTTTGAAAACTGATATTAACATTTCCTATGACTTGGACTCCTTTCCTTTTTACAGTTAGTGTTCCTTCAAACTTTTCTCTTTGTTTTTAGTAAAGTCTCCTAGGAAATACCTTCAAAACATTTTAATATCTAGCTAAATCTGTAAATGTTTGCTTTGCATTAGACATCTGATTTTTTCTCCCCCCTCAAGACAGCAATATATTTGTTCTCAAACTAAATTAGACGTTAATTAGTTAATGGATGAAAAGAGCTATGTAAGTGCTAAGTAGTATTATTTACTATTATTACTAACAACCAACAAAGTCACAGGGATCAATTTGGCACTGACATTAATGGGAATAGATTCCAATGTTTTTGAGTTATTTAAAGCTAATTAAATGCATGCTTCTGCTGTTCTCAGGAAAGAAACAGGGTGACCTTAAATCCCTCCACTGTAAGTTTCAACTAGATACTGCGGGGTCCTCCCACACACTGCTGCTAAAGGTTATCCTGTCTTCAATTTCACTTATTTGTCGTCTTGGTTAAACTGTTGATGTCTCTGGCTCTTAAGTGGATGAATGACAATTTCCCCGTGAACTTTTTGTTCCTCTCATGCATCACAGTGTTATGACTAGAGAACAAGTTTCAGTAGAATATTCTGATCCTCAACTTAAATTAAGTTGTTTATACCAAGCTTTGAACCTCTATTTCTCTCTCTCTTGGATCTCAGCCTTTCTTAAGCTAAGCCAGGACAATATATATCACATTGGTCTTCGCAGATGCAGGGTTTTCTCTCTCTCTCAGAGCAGTTAGTACTCTTTTTCTCCTGGAACTGAAGACAGTTAACTAGCATGCTCTCTGTAAATGATTCAGGTAGGTGAACATGTCCCAAGCTATAATGGTTCCTTTCGTTCCAGATTAAATGAAAACTCAAAAGTTTTTGTTCTAAAGGTCATGGGGGAGGAATTTTCAACATTACTGTCAATATGTGGGAAACTTGATAGGTAGTAATAAGATAAATTGCTATAATGTTGGTTAGCAAATGGAAAAGCAATATATAAAGCATTCTGTAATCTTAGTTGTGCATGAAAATTCCCAGTGTACCGTTTTCAAGTCATATCCATAATCCTGAATACTATGGAATACAGGATTGCTATAAATACAAATGCCAAAAGATAAGTGATTGGAACAGGTCGGCAGTCAGACAGAATTTTTTTTTATCAAAATATATAGATTTTTCCCCCCTCTTTCACAGTTTCATTTGACAAAGGAGTAGTATCTTGGTGTAGCTGGATAATTCTTAATTTCTGGCATATATAGTAAAAAAATCAGGCATTTTTTCTTTATATTTAGGTGTTACTGATATTTCATTGAGCAGACAAGAACTTGATACATCTAGTTCCCTTTATTTACTGCCAGACTTTGCACTGACAGGAATGAGAAATACTGGAATTAAATATTGAAGCTTAGTTTTGCTCATTAGTTTTCAGCATCTGTGAAGAGTGGAAAGTGCAAAAGTTTCACTCCATAGAGAGCTGGCTATAGATATAAGGGAGTAATATAGGGAGGGGAAGACTCATAAACCAGACTTGTGAGGTGTCTTTTAAGCACCCAAGAGCAGATTTTATATATATAAAAGAATCACTTTTTAAATTATTATTTTTTTAGAAAATTTTCATGTGAATACCTTGTAAATAAAACTGGAGTTCTTTGTATTTAGCCTAGGTTTTTTTGTCTTACTTTTTAATCAGAAATACTGATAGCCTCTAATAGTATTTAGCAAAAGCTCTGCTTCAACGTGTGGTACAGTAACTTATCAGGTAGTGTAGCAGAGTTGCTATTTGGTAGTTGCCCCCTTGTGGCCAAAGGTTTCCAGAGTGGCCCTCCTTCTGCTCCCCCTCTTTGGAGACTCTTGGGAGCACCATGTAGGCTTTCTGAGGGCTCTTGCCAGCTCTCCCCTGAAACTGGGCCTGTAGCCCAAAGTAATTCAAAATAGTCCTCCGTATCCCAAATGTGGAATGTAGTGGGACCTGGGGTCTGCACCGTTGGTATCAAGAGCCAAGGGCATGTCTAGTACATGTGAAAGCTACTGCCTCCACAAGGGGCAGGCCTGACACCAGCACCTGTGATGGAGAGGAAGGAGCGATCACCGACTGCACTGGTGGCACCGTTCCACAAGAAGAAGATCTTGATGGTACCAACTCTTACCCAACTCAAGCCTGCACCATCTGCTCTCCTATGGGCAGAAGTCCTTCTCTCTCACCATTTTCTAGACTTTATACCATCCTTGAGGACCTAGCGGTTTATGCTGACCTGGAGTTGCTGATACTCTTGGAACCGATGACTGGAGAGGTGCATACCTGTTGTTGCACTACGCACTGCTCTGTCCACCAGTCGTAGTGTTGTTACCTACACCAGCAGTGTATTATTCACCGGTCCTGACTACCAGCTCTCTTACCACTGAATGGTAGCAATGGCTCTACCTGTAGAAACAGGGAAGCTGTGTGTGTAGGGATATCCTTCATTTCCCTTCAACCCACAAAGAAGCTAATTACAGCCTCCTTTCTACTGGACTGAGAAGCATACCTGGAGAACCATGTGACTCAGGGCTCTTGGACCCATCAAGAATCCAGAGTACATTTCAGCCTCCTTGAACTTTGAGCAGTACAGGAAGCTTGCAAGAAGTTTCTACCATTCATATGTAGCGTATATGTTCAGGTCACATCAGACAACAGGACTACTGTATACTATGTAAAAAGCAGTGGGGAGCGAGGTCCACCCTTCTTTGCATGAAGGCAATCAAATTAGAATTGGTGCATACAACACCAGTGAACCCATTTGGCAGTGCACCTTCCAGAGATAGTATATGCCTTAGTGGGCAGCTTCAGCAGACCATTCCACAGAGACCATGAGTGAGAACTCCACAACTTGGTGGTGCAGAGGGGCTTCCTGTCATGGGAGCTCTTTGCACCATAGGTAAAGAAGAAGTGTTCAGTCTACTGCTCCTGTGCAGCTCGAGGGCATAATTCCAGAGTGGATCTATTCCTGGTGCAGTGGTCAGAGCCACTAATGTGTGCTCCCCCCCCCCCATCCCCTTCTTACCTTGGGTCTTCAACAAGATGAAACAAGACATTGACAGTAATTCTAGTGGTGCCTTGGTGGCTGAGAAAGTTTTGGTTGACCCATAATGAATAGTCATAGGGACCATGCATTTCTAAGAACTCCAGTTACTATAAAGGTAAGTAACCTTCCTTTCTCTTCAAATAAACATTCAGCAAGAATAAACCCACTACATCATACTAGTACTTAACTTTTATTCTTCCTGATGTAGAAAGCAAATCTACCTTCTGATAAGAGCTGTCATGGGGGTTGATTGATAATAGATGGGTTTCTCTTAAGGAACTCTCTCACTGATTATGACCTTTTCTTTTCCTAGTAACTGATTGCAGAATTACTTCTTAAAGGAGAAATGAATAAGAAGTATGTCCCCTCTCTTTATTTCTCCTAAGTGTCCAGCCTTTCCTGAATCTCCAAAACTCATTTGAAATGGAAAACTATTAAATAATTACACAGGATGGGTTTTCAAAAGCACCAAGGATATGTGCTCCTAAATCATTTAGGCGTCTTGAAAAATCCAATCCAAAGCCCACTGAAATCAGATCTTAAAAGAATAAAAAGTAACCTCTTGACAAATACTTGGAAGTACATAAGATGAAAATAAATGATATTTTTTACCTACTGGTGATTCTCAGAGTTTTTATCTACATCCAAGCTTGTCAGAGCTGCTTTAGACGTCACACAATCCAGTACTGCCTAGGGAAATTCTATCCATATCAGGATAAAGTTAACAGGAAGAATCAAGCAATTAATTTCCTTCAAGGTAAGATCGGCATATCTGACTCGATATTATTATATTACTTTGCATAGCAAAATTTCAAAGTTAATTTAGGACAAAGACTTTACTTCAGATATTCTCAGAATGCATGAGGAGAGATGATTAAATTCCAGATTCCAGTGTAAATTAGCTTCTAAACATAGACGCTTGCAGTCTGAAGTCTATCAAAGAATGTTGCTTGCAATTCATGATACTAACTCATCGATGCCAAAGGTCTTGTTGCATCTATTTCTGGAAATCGGTGTCCTACTGGAAAGGTCTGATTGTCCATACGTCTTTTTGGCTTTGTTTAAAGGTTCATAATATTGTGATAGCCGTCCTTCTCTTCCCCCCTCCCCCGAACTTAATAAAAAACACAGTAAAGAAATGCTTTATCTTTCTTTCCTAAAGTCTTTATGATTTCTGGCAGGTGCATTATTTTGTGTCGCTGTCTGTAAGTCATGGGGAGCAGAGGTGAATGGTTGTGGATGACATTTTTTGTGTAAGCCTATTCTAATAAGAAGGTCCTTCAGGGCCAGAAAAATCAGCTAATTCCAAATGGATTTGTTTTTTGCCTTCTTAAGGCCGAAAAGTCCTATGGGTCTTGCATCTCTTTGTGCTGTCATAAATAATCTTACCGCACTGTGACAGCTGCCTGAACAGAATACAGAGCAAATATGTATTTTGAAATCTTTAAAATGGCTTGGAGTTGTTTTCATAACTTCTCAGAATTCTATAAACTAAACATTCTCAATACACTGTGCGTGCCTTGTTGTTGTTGTTGTTTTTAATAAAGTCAAACACTGTTGGCAGTTCTTCATTCTTTTGGACTTTTTGGTAGATATAGTTTAGTATTACAGTTTACCAAAAAGGTTAGTAGTGATTGGACATCTAACATAGTGAATGCCAGTGAAAATGAGGTAGGATCAGAGGCTAAAATAGGGAAAGAACAAGTTAAAAATTACTTAGACAAGTTAGATGTCTTCAAGTTGCCAGGCCCTGATGAAATACATCCTAGAATACTGAAGGAGGAGACTGAAGAGATATCTGTGCCATTAGCGATTATTTTCTAAAAGTCGTGGAAAATGGGAGAGATTCCAGAGGACTGGAAAGGGATAAATATAGTGCCCATCTATAAAAAAGGGAAATAAGGACACCCCAGGGAATTACAGACTAGTCAGTGAAACTTCAATATTCGGAAAGATAATGGAGCAAATAATTAAGCAATCCATTTGCAAACACCTAGAAGATAACGTGATAAGTAGCAGTCAGCATGAATTTGTCAAGAACAAATCATGTCAAGCCAACCTAATATCTTTCTATGACAGGGTAAAAAGCCTGGTGGATAGAGTGGAAGCAGCAGATGTGGTATATCTTAATTTTAGTAAGGCTTTCGCATGACCTTCTCATAAACGAGGGAAATATAACCTAGATGAAGCCACTATAAGGTGGGGTGCATAACCGGTTGGAAAACTGTTCTGCCTCTCAGCTTCTGGTGCAAGGGGCAGGCCTGGCCTTGCTCCATCCAGCAGGGGGTAGAGAGTGTTCCCTCCCACTCGGGCTCGGAGGGAGGCCATTCTGCCTCACTAAACTACCTCTTTATTTATATAAATGTACCAACCAGTGCCCATTTGTACATTAGTCATAAAACAAGAATGCACATGCAGCCTGGATCTGACAACCAGAAGGAAATAACTAGAGGGAAAGGAGACTTTGGTGTTAGTAGGTGGAGTCTTTTAAACATAGCGCTGTTACATTTGTGTGTATAGATGATCCAAATGATCCTCATTTCTGGAAAATTATACGTCTGATCCAATACCTATTGGGGGCCTTCCATTTACATCATTTGGCTTTAGGTCAGGCCCTGCGTGTACTGAAGTTGGCTGTTGCTAGTTAGTGTTGTATAGCTCTGATAATAACTCGGCTGTGAAAAAGCAAAATATTCTCCCTGGCGGGCCATCAGCTCTGGAATTCAGGACTCAGGTTGAGCCCAAATTCT